TGATCACTGGACTTATTTTATTATTTTTATTTTTTATTATTTTATTATTTTATTTTTATTTATTTTTATTATTTTTTACTTACTCTTTATTCACAAATAAAAATGGATCCGTTATACGCTGGATCTCGTCCTGTTTCTTCAGCAAAAGACAAAGACACGATGGACTTGCTTAATTATATACCCCCAATATACCACAGTTATTTAAAAAATTTGAAACAAAACACGATTTCCGAGGACTTAATCACTCCTATTGATGACGAAAATTAAATTGAACTGATGTATTTTCATATAAATTACTTATACTTATGTTTCAAAATGTACTAACTATTTTTGTATTTTAAGAATATTAAAATAAAAAATACTTAAATCAAACCTTTATATTAAATACGTTCAGGGTATAAATTATTATTATATATGTAATTTATTCAACAATTTTAGTAAATCACTGTCCTTTCAAAACATCACTTCACTAAAATACGTCGGACAAAATTAATATATGTCAGTCATTTTTCTAAACTATTTATTTTGAAAGTGGCTTAAGTCACTTTACCGTAATGAAAAGTGGTGATTTTTTAATGTTTATACGAAATTATTTATACTAGAAAAATATCAATATCCTGAGATAACAAATACAAGTAAATCCTCTCGAAAGTTAGCATCCATATTTTTAAACGTGTTAAAACGCAAACCCTTAAATATATCGACTTAAAAACAAAGTGACTTATGCCACTTTCAAAATAAACGGCTCATTTGTCGACACCAAGTTTAAAAGTAATATATTTTTGTTTACCGTATCAGTCAGGGCCTGAAATCAGTGCAGTTAGCAAAAGTCCCGCACAGCGACGTTGGGCGCCTACCGTGTGAATATTGTAATTCATAATTACGATGGCGACGCGCCGCAGAGCCTATGTCTGTTTGTAGTTCAGAATTGTAGTGCTCATCCGGTAGATGCCGGTACATGTACTGACTCACGTAATGACTTTTCTTGACTGCACTGCCTGAAATCCTAATTATGTCGAAGTACCCGAGCGTTCGTATACTCTGCCTAATTAGTCCGAGTTCGCAAACTCGAGTATCCGCGCACTTTTAGAAAATTAATAACAACTCATAGTAACATCATACTACAACGTCAACCGATTTCGATAAAATTTTCAGCATTAATATTAGTTACCGAGATCTACGAAAGACATGTTTCAAATTTTCGTCTCAGGCTCAGATAAACAAGTTAAAAAACGAGAGTTTTTTATTTTTTTCTGTCATTCCAAATAACAGTAAAATTAAAAAAGGACATTTTCGTCCTTGTCTAGTATACTAGTCCCTCTATCATCTAAAAAAATTCAAGTCACTCAGTCCAGTATTAAAAAAGTTATTGTGTTTTATAAGGTGTACGAGCACTTTTGTGGGCAACCAAAAAATCTATAAACTATCTCTTGCAAATATTATTGACAATATTCAACAAGCTTAAATCACAATATTATCCTTTAAAAACATAATTAAAATATTCGAAGTAACATGCCTTCGCTTATCAGAATCTTCTCCACAGTCGAGAGTATGCTCACATCCAGATTCCTCCTTTTGGAAGCAGACCGTAGGAAAGCATTCGCAGTGCTGCATCGTAACCCGTTTCTCAAAGTACCGTAGGTATAGGTGATCCCGGTTTGAGTAGGTCCATTGACATCCAGGACATCGTATCCCAATTCTGTGGTAGCCTTTACCAGATACTTGATCACGGGAGTTTGGTACCTGAAGTACTCAACGGTCAAGTAACCGCCAGTGTGGTGATAAGGCGAATGTTTGTATTCTTCAATCCTCGTGTCTTCAGACTTCTTAAAATAAGGCAGCACACTGTCGTAGTCCCAGCCTGGATTTCCGTGTTTTTCCCAGTTCTCATAGTCTCTCTTGTTGCCACGAACGTAGAGCATTGCGTTCAGCACACTGCTAGCTCCGAGAACCTTGATATTCAGAGTTTGGGTACATGAAAGCATAATTTTTGAAGGCTTATATAAAGTGCTACGGAATTATAAGGAATTTAATTTTATGGTGTTTAAGAAGGAGTTTGTGATATTTAAATGTTCGTTGGACTGCATCTTGTATAACAATTTGAAATAGATAATTTTATGATATAAACCCCGTTAACTTAAGGCAAACTATATTACGCAATGCTCAATTCTAAATTGAAACAGTTACTTATTGATTATATTAAGTGTACAAGTAAGTTTTGGTCGTTCCATTCTAAATTTTTGCTTCGATTTCTGGAAATATACAAATGTCTTTAATTATTTCAATAATACCCGTTGCTTTTGCTGACCTCTCTCCATCTATCGGACAACTGACGCATGCTATTGGCAAGAAAAACTGCCTAGTTACGAATCGGTAAAGTCGTCGATACGTTTTTTAATATTTTCAACATCGAAGGAATGCGTACTCGCTAGTAAATATTGTAGTGACTGAAGCAGATTAAAATCTGTAGTCTTTCCCAACCCAACGCAAACGGTCACGTCAGGCCTCAAGATCTGAGTCTAAAAGAATTCGGACGTGGTACGGCGAGGGTTAAAAGTAGAGGACTAGAACTTATATGTATACCTAATATTACAATTAAATGTTGTCTGGTAAAAACGTATATATTTTTCTGTTCAAAATTATTCAGGAAATTTGCAATGCAGTGAGATAAACCATTTCTAATTATGGCTACAATACATTATACAAGCTAGTTTTCGTTTGAAATCTTTTGTTAGTGACTGTACGTATTAATTAAAATAACGACTCCAGTAGAAATACTTATTACGTTCACAATATTCACGATACAATGTTTGATATTTTCTAAACGAATGAGAAATCAGCGAAATGATGACTTATGTGCTCTCCACTACAAGCAATTTATTTGAAGTGATCAATTGGGAAATGTATATGTTCAGGTATTTTTTACAATAACTGTAAGGGACTATATTTTCTAAACGGATTTTGCTTGTAAAACGTTGCATTGAATGAAGTTGCGCATATCGGCGGTAAAATGCACATTTTAGAATTACTTATGTGGAAAAATTTGAGATCAAGGGACTACGTGAATTTCAGTGTAGTTATTAGTATTGTAGAGTAGATTTTTTCAACTGGAAATAAAAACTCTATAATCAGCCAAACCTTCGCAATTAAAACATGAACGAACCATCTAAACCTAACCGATATTATCTAGGGTACAATTTCTCGAGAGACATTTGCTTCCACAACAATGATACATTAAGTAGATCTATTTTTCAAGTGAGTGAAACACACGGTAATTGAAGTTTTGAATTCTGTCTCATTTTGTACATATTACAAAGTAAAATTTTTAATTTTCATCAAAATACTTGATACTAACAACTCACTCTGAAAAATTACAATGTAATCAGATATAATTTTATATCTCGACGTCTTCTTATCGCTAAGATGAATTTGTGAGTCATTCATATGTCACTCAAAAATGGATTCACGAACTACTTTCACGCATTTTCCTAAGAAAAGTGTGATTTACCAAAATTAAATTACTCTCACAACTTTATACTTGAACGAAATAAAATACAGATTTGATATATCTTGAACGTGGACATTACTATATCAACAATTTTACCCCGCCATGTGGCCAGTTGCACTGCTGCTTGTTCATCGCCTGATAATAGTTCTTCGACGGTTCGGTTTTGAATTACGAGTCCACAAAGGAGACAGTAGCAGAAGCACAAACGTTGCAAGTACATCAGAGATTTCCGGTTCATCCGGCCCAGCTTCCAGCAGAAGTACCGTCCATTTTCCATTCTCTGACAGCCGATTGGCTATCACTGATCCAGCTGATCCAGCTCCGACCACCACGAAATCGTACTCATTTCGCAAATTGGTCGGTGACACGGGTGTCACTCTATTTTCACGATCGGCAATGTCCGGTCTGAATAGTACGATCAGTAGTTTCAATAAAATGAGGGTACGCGTTTCGAACAGAAGGGTAGCCCCTATCCTAATAGTTGAAACCCAACCTGCTAGTGACATCTCGATCGGCGCACTATAGCGGAGCTGTTTAACTAGTTACACGCGAGGGCAGCGATTTTATATCCAGGGCAAACACCGATCGGCGGTGCCCACTTCCGAAGGCAACAGTGTTTCTTCCTTAACTACATTTTACATTATTGACTGATGATATTGACAGAGGTAGATTGTAGATAACGTCAGTATCTTTATAATCGATATGATGGAATTAATTTTTCTATGTTGAGGTCACAAAATAAGAATTTGTATTTTTAGTATTATTGAATTTTGTTTTAAAGTCGAAAAATATTGATGCGATAGTCCATATCTTGCTTACTAAAAGAAAAAAAGGAATCAAATCGATCCGTCAAATATTTTTTGAAATGAAAATTTGTATATACCTGTTTATGAGGATATGCAAAAGTTAAATGAAAACAGACATAATAATGTTTGAGTACGGTTTTTTGGAATAATTTCTCGGTGTATGTAAATATTCATGCATCATAGCAAAGCTTTCTGATTTAAAAAAGGAGAAAATAATCATCATAAGCCAAGGTAAAGATTTCAAGTCAAAAATAGTTAAGTGTAACTTGTTGTCGTTGACATAGACAGAATATGATGATTTGTAATTTTTATACATATTCGAAGTCAACGAAGCGATAATTGTAACCTTAATTTTACATCTGCTTTATTGTGGAATACTGTTGGGTTGACAAGAAAGTAGTTTCGGTTTGCACCAATAGATAGCGTTATGTTTGTATTGTCATTCTTCTGTTAAGGTTATGATTTTTTGTTTCCAGATTTGGTAGTTGAAACGTTTAGGTTACTATAGAAACAAATTTCGTGTAGCTTTGTTTACAACTGTTAGTTTGCTGTCAATTTTAACATGAATGTGCAGAAATAAACATTTTCGACACATTTTACTTCTTTATTTTCATAAAGGCAAGAAAGCTGCCGAGGCTCACAAATAGATATGCGATGTTTATGGCGTTGGTTGCTTAATAGAACGCACGTGTCAGAATTGATTTAAAAAATTTCGTTCTGAAGATTTTTCACTTAAAGATGACCAATGTTCTGGTCGACCTTCTGAAGTTGATAATGACAAAATGGAATCGTCGTATAACTGTGCGAGAGATTGCAAAAAGGTTGTATGTGTCACACACAATAATTGAATATTACATAAGATGTCTTGGACTTGTTAAGAAACTCTCGATGTTTGGTTTCCGCATGAATTGAAAGAAATTCACTTCGCATAATGAATGAGTATTTGCGATACGCATTTCAAGCGTAATGAAATCAATCCATTTTTGAAATGAATTATTACTGGTGATGAAAAATGGATCGTTTATAATAATATTAATCGAAAAAGATCGTGGTCCAAGCTTGATGAACCTGCATAAACCATATCGAAAACTGAATTGTATCAGCAAAAAATCATGCTGTCAATTTGGTGGCACTATAAAGGTGTTGTGTATTTTGAGCTGTTTCCAAGCAACCAAATGATCGACTCAGATGTTTACTGCTAATAACTTATGAAATTGAAGGAAGCAATCAAAGGGAAAAGGCCAGAATTGGCAAATCGCAAACGAATCGGGTTCCACCACGACAATGCAAGGCATCACATATCTATAGCAACACGTAAATTATTGGAGCTTGGTTGAGAAGCGATGTCGCATCCTCTACATAGCCCCAACCTTGCACTATCGGACTATCATTTATATCTTCATATTTCTCTAACAAACAAATCCCTTACGTCTTTTAATGCGTTTATCTATTATTAAATTAGCTTTGCTAATCGTTCGTTGAATTATGTTCGAACACGGAATTATTTAAATTAAAATATCATTTACGCACTTTGTTAATCTGCACTGTACATCTTGCTTAAAAATTTCATACGGTACGCACGAGGTGTCATGCACACCAGAAAATTAAAACGGCTGTCACGGTTAAATTATTTATTATTTCGGTTTCGAAAAATTAGTAAATATTCTTCAGATTTCTGAAATAAGGATGAATAGTGTTTTTCCATTGTCATGCAGAAAAAAATTCAGAAGTTTACGTTCCGTGACTTGTTCATTGAATCGAACGCAGCACGAAGCGTCTTTTCTTCTGTCGCGCTCCACGGTCGAAGCACGTTGCTCGATCGATCGACCACATTGTAGTTCGCGCCCTCACTCCTGATTGGTCAGTGATTTTCGTTAATAACTTGTAAAGGAAGCCACGGATTGCATTTTCGCAAGGAAAAAAGTTACTTCAAATGACCTCAGCTACCTCCCCCACCCCCATTTTTGGCTGTTAAAATAATTGTGGAACACCCTGTGTACCCTTCCGCTGAAAGAAGTCCAAAATTCAAAAGGGAGCTGCAATATTGTTTATCTTCATACAATGAAATCTACAATGGCCTTGATCTAACCAGCAAACATACCATTGCACTAAAAAAGATGCAAAAATTGAAAATGAAGAAGAAGGTTCAAAAAGTGAACCGAAAGATATTAACCGGATGACACATAACGGATATAATATTCGGATATAACCGAATGATATCGTTCAAGTGAGAAGAAGAAAATGATTAAATTAACGTTACATTTCAAATGAAAATGCTATTTCCTTTTTTCCCTTTGTGTTATACATACATTTATATTTTTAATAAAAATTTAGTAGCTTACGTGAAATGAAAAAGAATAAGTTTTCAATAAGTTTTAATAAGTTTTTAATAAAACACGTTTTCACTCAACACAGAATTTTCTAGGGACCTATCCACCATGTTAGACGAGCGTCTCTTGTAGTTTAAGATAAGATAAAATATTATTAGCAAGAAAACTGTGAAGGAATTGCAACGGTGCATCGTTACAATTTTCGTACTTCCACAGGTTTGCAAAAGTTTTTTACAAAAATTCTCTCGAATACATTCGAATATACACCTCAAGGGACCAAGTTTAACTGGTCTAATTTATAGCAAGTGCTCTGTCGTCGAACAAAATTTTAGTCTATTAGATTGTGGAAAAAGAAAAGGCTGATCTCATCAACGAATGAAATGCATTTCCCCGCGGTTTCCCCTGTCAATACAACAATTCACCGTTATTATATAATTACTGCTGTAGCTAGGATGTGGAATATGCTCAGAAATCGAAGACGAAAGTCCTACGAGATTTATTTCACAGTTACAAGCGAGCATTATCCTTTAGAAGCGTTACAGACAAGAGTGCGTTGGCGAGGAGCCTTAACGCGGCATGTGTAGAGTCATACATCAAAACAACCTTGACCTATCCTTCATACAGGTGTTCTATATTGATAATAGATGATGTAATTAGCATACTTCAAGAAATGTAATGCAGTCTGGCCCCACTTGAGTACACGATGAACAATGTACGCTAGTTGTTCACATTTCAGATATACAATTCCAGACAATAGTTGAAAAACACTTTTTAAAGTACAATAACTTTTTTGAAACTGAACTAAATGACTTTAATTTTTTTAGATGATAAAGGTGCTAGACCATGACTAGTCTACTAGACCATGACTAAAATGCTTTTTTTTCAATTTTACTATTACTTGGAATGACAAATGAAAATAAAACGCCAGTGTTGTGCTACAACAAGTAGCACGACTACAAACGACAATACACCTTTCGGCTGCTCGACAATGACATTATCATTGTAGCGTTACTATAATATCACTAATTATATTATTATTATACTATTATTATCATATTAATATGGTATAATATTATTGTCAGCAAAAATTGCACAAATTTCAGTCAGTGCATTGAAAAATCTAATCATCCAGTGCAACCAAAACGAATGTAAACGAAATTCTATATAAAAAATGTTCACGTTCGATTATAAATTGTAAAAATATTCGTGTAAGGAACGACAGGTAATGAATACAAAGGGAAGTACAGTAATTTCTCCCAGAAATATTCGGAGTTCGGAATTGAAACTGGCAAATCTGAGAATACTAAGTCGCAATTCTTTGGGCCTCGCGGCTCCTTTTTATAGAATCTCGGGACAGCCGGCAAGAAAAGGCAGCGGTCAGCATACCAGTGCACATTAGTATGAATATATAGTAATGCCAGAAGAAAAACGATGATTTAACTTTTTGATTTCTAATTTCTTGCCACGATTCGATAGTAATACAGAGGCCATATGACATGATTCGAAGGCAATTCAGAGGCCACATGAGACGACGCGAAAGCAATCGAATACAGTTGCAATTTTGCGCAATACGTTTGCAATGTGGAAATTCTGACACAGGCAATGCAATTGGGTTGCTAAAACACGTCAAGACCAATGAGATGAAGAAAAGATGTTTTTTAAAAGAATAAGGAAATATTAAACAACTATATAAAATAGTCTAACTGACATCTAAAATAATTCTTCTCGCAGAATAGCTTGAAATTCGTTGAAATTAATACGAATGTTTCTAATTGTCTAACACTTTAGTTGCAAGCAAACTATTACAGGCTTTTTGATAATTGTGCTGTATGTAAAAGAAGTTCAATCATTTCCTTTTAAATTATAATTTCAAACATTGTATGATATTAATTCAAATATTTTATTGACGTATACATATATCAAGATGCTGGCGCTTCCGACACATCATTAAAGAGATTTCCATTTATCGATCTTCGATTTCAAAAGATTCGAATCTTAAATAATGAAATTTCAATGTTACCAAAAATTAATCTCGAAATAAAAATACTTCATACTAAGTAAAAAAAAAAGTTAGAAATATTCTCGATTTGTAAAAGAAATCTTTTAATTAAAAGGCATAGTTTGGTAATAGAAACAGTAATGATTAACTTCATCAAATCTGTATTATTCTTTGTCAACTTGCATTAACTTATTAATTGTAAATCAGAATACATTTTCGATTTCTCTTCCTTTTCAAAATTTACCGTGTTATAAACTAAATAAATTCCCTTTGAACCTCGATCGCCACCAATTGTGTAATTGAAATTGGTTCAAATTGTCCTAGGCATTATCGTAGAAGAATTCGTTATAAAAATGAATTCTGTGACATGAAAATCACTTCCAAATACGGACAGGTCAACGTAAACGAATGTAGTCATCTTTACATGACAGTTTAGTTTATTTTCAATCCTTTATTATGTCAGGAACAAATTTTACTAATTGAAACAAAATATTACGTCTTAAACTGTGGGATAGCTTGCAAACAATAAGTTTATCATTAATCAGATTGTTTTCTTGATATAATAGAATAATATATCGATTTCTTCATTATTTAATAAAGATGCAGTAATTTGCAATTAACAAACTGCTATAACCAAAATATTTTCTTGAAATATTATAATAATTTATTACCTTCACCCATATTATGAGATTATTTATTAGAATGCAATTTATTAAAATCAAATAATAGAACGGCTTTTTAAATATTGAAGCAAGATATCACTTTATCATTTGAGCTTTGACCATGTGTAATTGAAAACAGTATAGAAAATTTCTTCGAGAAATCACAATTTCTTTAGCGTCATCAAGATTTTCTTTAGCATCAAGATTTTCCATTTCGACAATTCGATACGGTCAAGCTCAATCTATAATATCTATATGTACTATTTCCAGTCCTCCTTGATCATGTCTGCAGCTTTCTCGGCAATCATAATAACCGGCGCATTCGTGTTTCCAGAGGTAATATTCGGTATAATCGACGCGTCAACCACTCGCAGTCCCTTAATTCCGTGTACTTTAAGTCTGTGATCCACGACGGCCATCTTGTCAGTCGCTGGACCCATCTTGCAAGTCCCACACGCATGGTAGATCGTCATTGTGTAGAATCTTGCGTGGCATTTCCAGTAATCGTCCGATGGAAACTCGAAAGACGAGCATTCTGGGATTCGATTTGGATTCGCTTTGGCATTTAAGCTTTTCAAAGATGATGTCTGGCTGAGATTGTATATGAAGTTTGCACCTTCTATCTGTTAACATCAGAAAATCATTTGGTTACTACAAAAATAGATTTAACTCGTCGAACCAGATTAATTGAAAAATCGGAATATGAAATGTTATTACTTGACAAACTTTGTCTTTGTTTTGTGATTGTTATAGAATGATATTATTCTAGAGATTATAATTTAATTATTATTACTATAATTTAATTATATTTACAATTAAACTATTATTGTAATTTAATTATTATTGTAATTTAATTGTTATTATAGAAATTGGTATAGAATATTGTATATCTGTTTTGGATAATGTGTGAAAATGTAAAAGTAAAAACCATATACAAATATCATTAAGGGAAACTTTAAACCTGAGGTTTTCGAAACCCTACGTCCTGAGACTCTACGCTAGGAAAACAAAAACTTCTCAAACTTCAAACTTTGTATACTTTTTAAGAATTGGCTATTATCAAAATCCAAAAAGGGACTAAACTGCTAACCTTATCATAACCTTCATCTCTAAAAATATTTTGATTCTGCTGATAATATCAAAGAATCTCAAAAAGGAACACTTTCAGAAAAACACAGAAAGCACTTCATAATTTCAAGAGGTAAATATTACGATAAACGAACAGTTTCTGTCAAGATTATATTTTTTTTGCAATTTTAATACCCATCCATGTATAATTCTTTTGCATACAAGTTGACGGAGAAGTCTTTGAGTAGCTCTTGATCGTTGTCGCCATGACATTCCTAAAATGTCACGTGTTTCCATCTCTGACGTCACGGATAACCACCTTAGCAGGGTAGAGCTACAGGTCAGCAGGGATTCCAGAGAAGCTTTCACGTTTATGATTAATCAGGTCATATCGCGGCGGTCGACGACGCTGCCCTTTAGTACCTACTCTGCTGAACTGTTCATCCGTGACGTCACGAACGGATTCATCTGTTATTTTTTGGTAATTTACGTAACGCCGATCTCGATCCTAGTTGCTGCATCGTAAGTATAACTGTATATGTAAACTCCCATGTAAATAATCATTGATAAAATTGAAATTGGGGGAAAGCATGAAGTTGGAAAAAATGTGTTTGTTTATCGTAACACTTACGTCTTCAAAGCAAACAGTGTTTCTATTTGAGATTCTTCCATATTATTAGTAGAATCAAAATGTTCTTAGTTATCAAGATTATATCAAGTTTAACAGTTTATTCACTTTTTGGACTTTGATAATAGCCACAGTTGTTAAAAAGAATACAAAGATTTAAATTTGAGAACTTTTTGTGGTTTCTCTAGCGTAGGGTCTCACATAGGGCATAGGGTTCCGAGAAAATCAGGTTTAAAGTTTCTCTTATTAGTGTATATTGTTTAATGTAGTAATAATTCAAACAAATAATTCAAATTTCGTTATTTTTATAAATAGACTACTTTTGCATTAATACGTTATTTTCATGATTCGCTTTATCTTCATGAATAAATTACGTGGTACATTATGCAATTACGTGGTACGTAGTACAACTGTAGTATTCTGAAATAAAAAGAAAAAAATTCTTTGGAGCCCAAAGGGTATAAGTGGCTACTTACCAAAACGTTAAGGTCATGTGGATCCTGGAAATAATTGGGAACGATAATCGGATGCTCGTCCACGTTACTCGAACGCAATTTCACGTACCCTCTGCTACGAGGTCTTAGCAAAAGCGGAATGGCACTATATGAAGGTTTGTAGATTATATTCTCATACATCTCTGCGTAGAAGTCGCCCTTCACACCAGCGATCCTACTTGCGAAAACACCGCCGTCGTTTGCATC